ATAATTTTTTGATCACCTGTATTTTGGCTTTGTGCAAAAATTCGATGTCCCAGTACTATTCCCTCCTTTACCTGAAATGACATTTTTCCCTATTAAGCATGAGGTTCTTCTCCACACATCTTTGCAATACAAGAGCCAACCGATTCAAGCAATCTTCAAATGAATCTCCAAACACAGAAAAATTGTCCATGAAAACCTCAATGTACTTTTCTACCATATCAGAAAAGATGGTCATCATGCATCGTTGAAAGGTTACTGGTGCATTGTATAAACCAAAAGGCATTCTTCTAAATGCAAAAGTTCCATAGGGGCATGTGAAGGTTGTCTTCTCTTGATCTTCTGGAGCAATTACTATCTGATTGTAATCTGAATATTCGTCTAGAAAGCAATAATGAGAATGTCCTGGTAACCTCTCCAACATCTGATCAATGAATGACAATGGAAAATTGTCCTTTTTGGTTGCATTATTTAGCTTCCTATAATCTATACATACTCTCCACTCTGTCACTAACCGTGTTGGTATTAGCTCGTTATTCTTATTCTTCTCCACCTTGATTCCACCATTTTTAGGCACAACATGTACAGGACTTACTCACGAACTATCAGATATGGGATAAATTATTCCTGCATCCAGTAATTTCAACACTTTTTTCACACTACTTCTTTCAAGATTGGGTTTAATCTGCGTTGTACTTCCACTGATGGCTTTGACCCGTCCTCCATTAAAATCTTATGCATGCACAGAGTTGGACTGATCCCTCTGATGTCAGCTATCGACCATCGAATTGCCGTTTTGTGTTGTCTGAGTACCTCCAACAATTTATTCTCATCTTCCCTTGTCATGTCATTTGCAATGATAACTGGAAGTGTTGCAGAGTCTCCCAAATACTCATAACAGAGATGTGAAGGTGGGGGCTTTAGCTCAAGAGTGGGTGCCTTTTCCACTGAGGGTACCGGGGGTGAAGGGTTGTCATCTAAAGATTCAAATTGCCAATGTCTTCTTCCTATTGGTTTCTCGGCCAAGTTGACAACACATTCAACTTTTTCTGCATTTGTTACTTTCAGTTGCGCAAGTTCCGCCTCACAAAGATTTGTTCGACACTCTGTCTCCAATGTATCCGCCACAAGATCTTCAAGAACATCTACTTGGAAGCAAGTGTCCGAAGTCAATGAATGTTTCATCGCCTTAAACACGTTGAATATGACTTGCTCATTGTCCACCCGAAGAATTATATTTCCATCATAAACATCAGTCAGCGTTCTTCCGACAGCCAAGAAGGGTCCTTCCAAAATCAGAGGAATGTTTGAATCCTCCTTCATGTCCAAAATGATGAAGTCAACCAGAAAAATGAATTTGTCAACTTTGACTAGCACATTTTCAATAATCCCCTTCAGTCGTTTGATCGATCTGTCGGCCAATTACAAAGAGATTATTGTAGATTTTGCTTCTCCCAACCCAAGAGACCTGTAAACAGAGAGAGGCATAAGGTTAACACTGGCACCCAAATCACATAGAGATTGTTCAAAATAATTAGAACCAATTGTGCAAGGTATCATGAAACTCCCTGGGTCTTTTAGTTTAGGAGGTAGCTTTCTTAATAGAATTGCACTGCACTCTTCGTTCAGGCATACTGTCTCATGTTCTTCTAGCTTTCTTTTATTAGATAGGATCTCTTTCAAGAAGTTTGCGTAGCTGGGCATTTGTGTAATTGCATCCGCAAATGGAATATTGATGTGCGGTTTCTTGAAAATCTTTACAAATTTGACAAGCTGATTGTCCAACTTCTTTCTTTGTGACCTTTGAGGGAAAGGAATTGGTGGCACATAAGCTTTCACGGGGCTGGGTGTTTTCACTGCAGGCGTTTCTTTCCTTTTGTCCTCCTTGTCAGTTGGTTGTTCAGACTCTGCTTTAGTCCCAGTCTCTTTACCCATTATTTCTTTGTCTTTTCGCTCTAGTCACTTCACATATATCTCTAAAAGTTGCACCCCACTTCTGGTTGTAATAGCTTGCACTTGTTCTTTTGGATTGACCATTGTGTTGCCTAGCAACGTCCCTTGTGGATGTTCTGCAAGCTGTTCAGCTATTTGATCAATTTGTGTTTCCAACTTCTTGATGGATGCTTGTTGATTCTGAAAGTTAGTGTCAATCTGCTAGAACACCTTATCTGTCTTCTGCATATATTGGTTGAACATCTCTCCCAAACTTGGTTTTTTCTCCTGTTGGGCGTTGTTTGAACTGTTCCCTTGCTGATTATTCGACCATTTGAAGTTTGGGTGTTGTCTCCATCCTGGGTTGTATGTTTGAGCAAATGGATTAAAATTTCGAGACCCATTCTGAATGAAATTGACATGTTCCTCGGGATAGCCTATAGATGTGCAGTTTTCTATCAGATGATTAGCCCTGCAGTTTTCGCAAGATGGACCAACTATCACTGCATGTGCTCCTTTTGTTTGTGATTTCACCAACAACTCCACCTGTTTTGTCAATGCTGCTATTTGGGCGTTCGTAGCTATTGTGCTGTCTAACTCATACATTCCACCTATCTTCGGTGGCGCCACTCTCTCCGTTGAAAACATTGAATGTGTAGTGGCAATCAACTCAAACAGTTCCATGGTTTTCTGCACAGATTTTCCTATAATTGATCCACCAGCTGAGACATCGATTTGAGATTTTGACAATGGTGTAAGTCCAGTGTAGAAGTATTGCACTTGATTACCTATAGTAATTCCATGGTTCGGACATTTTCTCATCATCTCATTAAACCTATTCCATACCTCGTGGTAGCTTTCTCCTTCTTTCTGTTGAAAAATTTGAATCTCCAATCTGATTTTAGCTATTCTCCCCTATAGGAAAAATTTATGTAGAATTTTCTAGTTAGTTCTTCCCATGTAGTAATGTTGGCGTGAAGCTTCGCATCTAACCATTCCAATGCAGCATCTCTCAATGTAAATAGGAATAGTCGTAGTTTAATAGCATCTTCGTTGACCCTCGAAGCATGAAAGTTTTGATAGTTTCTGAGAAATCTAAAGATATGTGTGTTTGGATTCTCATGAGGTAGCCCGTAGAATTGCAAGATGTTGCTCATGAAGTTGATTCAATCTAGAATTTATTCACCCTAAAATCTGGATACGCAATATTGGAGCGCATGGGTACTGCTATAGGTGTCAGGAACATTGATACTGACAAATCACCTTCATTTATTTTCCATTGCTCATGTTGTTGTTCCGGTGGTGCCACCACTCTTGCGGCCATTTGTTCAATCGGTTGAATAGGGATAGAGACTTGTTGATTGTCAGTCATTTGATATTGCTATTTTTGTTTATATTCTTTGCATCTTCGTCTGAAGATACATTCTATCTCCGAATCAAATGGTTCAAGATCGTCGCATTGGGCACGGAGCATACAATGAACATAATTTTCTATAAATAAAAGAAATAAACAAATCAAATAACAGTGAAAAATAAAAAATAAATTAAGACTAAAAGTAATAGTCCTCGACAACGGCGCTAAAAACTTGTTATAAATCTTAGTTTCACAAGTATACGAATCGTAACAAGTAATAGTGGATCAAAGAGTCCGGATTGTCGATCCCACAAGGACTATTTTCTAGCACTTAATTCAATTTTTCTTTAACTACTATTTGATGAAAATAAATTAAAAATTATAATGATTTGAGTTTAAATCTTAATTATGTACAATAATAAATGCTCATACCAAAAACTTGTAAGATCAAATAATTAGAGGACGTTAGGACAGAATCATTTCACATATTGATCACTTTTATATCTCAATTTAAGACTCAATTCTAATGTAGTGTTCGGTCGAATTCTCCTATTGTATTCAATTTACCCCTCTTGAGTTCTCATTGAGCCTATTCAACTAATTAAATTTCATATCTCCATACAAATTTAACTAAGTTAAACGAGTTCTTTGTCCTAAAAATTTAATTTGATCGCAATAAATGGCATAGGTATCTCTACTCGTTTTACCAATGTACTCGATTTTACTACATGGTCTAAATCATAAACTCATTTCTCTATTCGTAAAGGATTCCCAAAATTCATCAAATTATTGATCAGATAATTTAATGCAATCAATTCATAGCTGGAAAAATTAAAAACCAAGAATCTTAATAAGAAAATATAAAGGATTTCAAATGGGTTACATTATTTGCCCTAACAATGGATTTAGCTACGTATAATAAAAGAAGAGCAACAACAATTTGTTTTAGAGTACATCACCGGATTCAGAATTAAATATGTAAAATAAAAGGTGGATCTTACACCAAGAATTCCTTTTTCTTCTAATTTATGCTTCAGACAATTAATTTGGCATTATTTTCTCCCTTTGAATCTCTCCCTCTTCTCCCAAGAAGTGTTTTTGCCTTTAGAACGTGTGGAACCCCCAAAAGTCTCAGAAAAAAAGGTATTTATAGGTCCCTTGCAGTTGCGGTGTGGAAATAGTAGGTTTCTCGCATGGACTCCAAAACGGGCCGAAAATTGCGCCCTAGCGAAATTGTGCATGGCGCTACGTCACTTTACGGTATGGCGCCGCGGTGCCCAAGGTGTAGCGCCGCAGCGCCACCCTTTTTTTGTCTTGGCGCCACGGCGCCCACACTCTGGTTCTTCTTGATTTCTTGATTTTTGGTGTCATTCGTCCCATCTTTGCTTTGTCTATTTTTCCCCTGTGTTACAACTTTTTTGTCCGTGCTACTAACTTCAATTTAATGATCTTTCTTCGTATCCTTTGCCATCTCGACAAACCTATAAAACAACATTAATACACACATTAAAACTTTCTATACTCGTGAATTCTAGCTTAAAATCAAGTTAAATTTTGCATAAACTCGTGAGTAAAATACACTCGTTAAGCTTCTTAGATACTGTCGCCTTATTTTACATTGTGGCATGATCCATGAACACCCTGAAGTAGGGATTTTTGGCTGCTACATTACTGAATGGACTATTATGGAAATGGGTGACAAATTGTCATATTGCAGGAGGATACTCTCATGCACCAGATGATCTGTCCTATGGAGTTAACATGAAGCAAATCAGATGGTGCGGCATCCTCCAGGTGATAACTTCACGTCCTTCTATTGGAAGTAAATTGTCTCAATTTATAAAAAATTAAGTCCAACTTCAGTCTGAAAAAATCCAAAAAAAAAAAAAAAAAATAAGAAAAAAAAAGAAAAGAAAAGGGAAACTAGAATGTCTCTCTCTTAACATCAGCTATTGTGTTTTCATACAGAGAATAGCTTTGGTATACTTTGTCGTGGCTATTATAGAGACCCTCACCACCAAGCTCAGACCAACAGTTCTAAACCCCGGTTATCTCTCCATTTTCACCGCCTACAAATGGCAATGGTAAGTATGCGCATGCAGATAATGTATAGTACTAACCGAACATATACTACTTACCCTTTTAACACCAAGATAAGCACCGATAATTGATGTAACAATTGCAGGTTTGGAGGGTTTGTTGCGTTTGTTATATACATGGTGACAGCATTCGCTTTATATGTTCCTGACTGGAGCTTCGTCGTGCACCATAAGCTTGGAGCTGAGAAATACACTGTAATAAAATGACTTCTTTTTTCTACGGATGCAGTAATAATTAGTTACAGTCAAAGAAAATGAGACTCAACCTAAGCTTTATAATTTTCAGGTGAAATGTGGAATGCGAGGGCATTTTGGACCTGCCTGCAATGCAGTTGGTTATGTGGATAGACAAGTCTGGGGTATTAATCACCTCTACTCGCAACCCGTCTGGTCGCGATTAAAGGTCAGAGTTCAGAAAGACCACATAACAGAAATTCATATACAATAATTCAAAATAAGTTTGTTTTATTATAAATTCCTTTCTTTTCTTCTTCTTTTCTTGGTTTCATATGTTGATATTTAGCTATGTACAGGCTTGCACCTTCAGTTCACCTGATTCTGGTCCACTACGCAAGGATGCACCAAGTTGGTGCCGTGCTCCTTTCGAACCTGAAGGCCTATTGAGGTTTGCCTTCGTCCATTTCAACAATGATACTTACCGTATAGACATGTTTGATATGTAGTATTGTATTGAACGAACAAAATTGTCAAAGATAACTCTAAAATCTTGTCCAATGATGTGAAGCAATGATGCTCTATATACATATATGTGTTTGTGTGTATATTTTGCCAAAAGAAATATTTAATTTGAGCAAACTATGCGTGCTTTGGATTTGCTTTCAGCACAATTTCAGCCATCCTCTCTGGCACAATTGGCATTCACTATGGACATGTATTGATTCATGTAAAGGTAGATTCATCTGCAGCATCATTACTTCAAATTATTTATATTGGAAATCAAAATAAACTAAAAAGATCGAACTCACAATGCAGTGCTATTATTCACAGTGGAATTTAAATACTTCTTGCAGGAGCATGCTGAAAGGCTCATGCACTGGATTTCAATGGGGCTTGTTTTACTTATTGTAGCAGTTATTCTTCATTTTACAGATGGTGAGTACTTTTATATCACAAAGATACTACTCATAATTGTTTCTGGTTAAAGAGCCATTCAAGAAACTAAGTACAAATTTTCACTTTTTTTGCAGCTATTCCTATCAACAAGCAGCTATACAGCTTCAGCTATGTTTGTTTCACAGCAGGTGCAGCCGGAATTGTATTTTCCGGGTTCTACATACTGGTAAAGCCTCCATCCCCATCCTTCCCCATGAAAAAAATAAAAATAGTATTCATGCTTACCAGTCGAGGAAAGTACCTATGGAAATTTGAAAAATGTGCTTCCATTGCATTACAGATCGATGTCTGGGGGCTGCGTACACCATTTTTGTTCCTGGAATGGATAGGGATGAATGCAATGCTAGTTTTTGTAATGGCAGCTCAGGGAATTTTCGCAGCTTTCATAAATGGATGGTATTACAAGAACCCAGACAACAATCTAGTAAGTGCCATTATTCATACTATATATCATATAAACTGAATATTTCACATTACAAACTGAAAATTGTTGTTTTTTCCAGGTCAACTGGATTCAGCAGCATGTTTTTAATGATGTTTGGAAATCTGAAAGAGTGGGGACTTTATTATATGTAATATTTGCTGAAATCACCTTCTGGGGTGTCGTTGCTGGAGTACTGCACAAACTGGGTATATACTGGAAACTATAAGAGGGAATTTCTATATCATTGTAATGAAGTAGACATATATAGTTTAAAGGATGAACATCAGATTTCTTCGGTTTTTTCGTCTACCTAAAAAATAGTCAGTCATATAGCACCTTACTATCTACTTTACACTTTTGCCTCGTCGTAAAACATCAAATTCTAATACATAACCAGGAGAGCATCAAATTTGCTGATAGAAAACTGCAGTCAAACAGCAAGAATATAACACCATATATTCCAGCTCTAAAGAAAATATTCTGTACAACTTATTCTTCCAGTAACTTTTGGCATCCATCTCTAGCATAAAAACGTTACAGTAAATAAATATCCTCATGTACGGTTGGAACGGATGTTACAAGTTATATTTCCCACCTAAGGTATTGACTTCTACTTCAAGAGAAACACCCCCAGAAGGCTTGACTTACCTTTTCATCCTTTCATCAGATATTCGCTTGTTTACATGAAAGGTCAGTCATACAGAAGCTAAGTACAACTTATAAAAAGCTAAACATTTTATACATAAACAAATAGTGAAGATATGTACATTGTGTAGATGATGATCAAGGTCGAAGCATACCATACACAGGCCAAGGTTCTGTTGCAACCCTGCAAAACATTTTATGCTTAACCATTATAAATCCCAACCCATCAACATTTTCCACACGGACTCTTGTATTTCTTTCCTCGCGACAGAAAAACCATCCCCCTCGTCTAATAAAATTCTGTAGACTTCACATTCCCGTTCTCCAATCATGTACCTCCCAATTTCAGCCTGAAAAGGCAATCAGATCTGACCATTAATCATTTGAAAAGAAATCAGGAAGAGATATTTAGAAAATGAGTCAGATCATTATTCATATATGTATAGCTATATACAATTTCCTTTTGGCTGGGTATATTTTCCTATCTTTCGAGTTTGGGTAATTGCGTCTCACGACAAAATATTCCCCTTCATGAGCTCCATGGAAAATCTCTTTCCTGGATTTTTCAGTGCAGATAGAAATTTATAGGGCGCGTGCAATCACAGCACCAAAATGGATATAAACGAGCATTTAATTGGGTTGTACTGATAACAGAGCCAATGGACACTTAATGAAACAATCATATTTATGGATATTGGACATTGTAATAGTCATACTTCAGAATATGCTTCTATGCTAAATGTGAGAAGGGAGAAAGAAAAGCATAATAAAATCATCTCAAACTGAAACTACTAAAGCATTTCTATAGGGACATACCAAAAAGATTGCTTTGTTGAGCATCTTGAGAGCAAGAGTTATGTCATGGAAAACCAGGGGACGACCCTTGCCTGATAACTCAACAGGGTTTGCGACTATCAGCTCAGTATCAGGGCCACGGCTTACCAGTGCTACTCTGAGAGGATGAGTTAGTTCTACTTGAAGACGGGAGAGCAGTGCATTCTGTTTGCTGGGATCAACTATTTTCTTACCATCTGCTTGCATGATAAACAAGTCTAGCTCGCAGTCTAGTTTCCCTTTCTTTGTGAAGCGTCCATAAGAAATCTAGCACAAACCATATTGTATTCAAATCAGGAACTTCAGTTTAAGACAATGCACTTGGAAAGAAAACTTTGCAGGGTACCACGCAGAAAAGATAAACCAATCGAGAAGGAGATAGTTGAACAGGAAAGGGGAAAAAAAAAAGAAACAGAGAAAAGCAATACCTGGATGTTATAATCCTTCAGAGTTCTCATTATATCATACAGAAGACCTTTATGATCCAAGCAAACAATCTGGACAAGTGTGTGAGCAGGACTCAACGAATTATCAATCGTGATAGATGGGCTTTTGGAGTACATAGATCCATTTTTGTGTTCATTGTTCATGTCTGTATTGAACATCTCTTCTGTAATTGCATCAGGAAGAAATGAGGATCCTTGTGAACATGCAGCAATTTCAGGACTGACAATCCCTATGTCACAAGTGATCATGTCATCCCCTAGAACAGCTTTTAAATGGTCATATGTGTCGTCCTGTCTCGCTGTTGTATGTAAAAGTTCCCTGAAAGTTTTGAGAAGAACAGTAACCCTTTGAACCAAAGACCGACAACAACAGCGGAAAATGCCAAGAAGCCAGCAGGTGAACGATTTCAGTTGATTCTGTTATTTGTTTACTTTCCTTCTCGGTGTGTGTGAGTCCGTGTGCACATGCGAAGAGGTTTGGGGGACGATGTTCACTGATAACAGTATTTAAAAGGCTCTATATACAACTTATATACAGATTAGTTAAAATATATGAACATCTTTCAAATATGCCATTGCCATGGATGATAAACTGAAAATACAACTAGATTAAGCTTAAAAAATGCATGGTTGAAATCTGTGTTCAATAGTTGTGCACAATCAAGAAAATAAAAGAAGAAAATATCAGAACAATAGAACCAGAAAGAATAGGAAACCTTGTATCGGTTATGAAGAAGAGATCCAACACTTTCCCGTCTGGAGTGGTTGATACCTTAACTCGCTTTATTGTAAGCTCAAGCTCGCAAAGAACCTCTGTCACCTCTGCCAAAAAAAATTCTTCAAAATACAACTAATGGATCTAACCCATATATCCTTCCCAGTCAATGGAGGACCAAAGTAATTTGGAATTATCCCATGAAAAATAAAACTTGAATATCCAAATGATACAAGCAAGAATCTTTTTCTTTTTCTGAACTATAATCAAGAGAGTAACTATTACGAAAAAGGGTATTAGCATTGACAAGTGCTAAATATGATAATTATTGTCACAGTCAAATCTAAAAGGACTAGCCACAAAAGTATGAGTAGTGGAATATAGCAATTACCATGCAAAAGGCCCCTTCTATCGTGGCAAAAGAGCTTCAACAGGAAGACATCAGGAGGCTTCGGTGGCTGCAACTCTGCCCTGTAATATGAAATTCCAGAAGCTGACGAACAAGAAGGGCATGCCCCCATCAATCTCTTCTTCAACAAACCCCATCTCGTACTCGGTTTGCCAATAACCCAGAACACTATGTAGCACCATTTCCCATCCGTAGATACATCTTCATTCACAGCATTTTACACAAGCAGATTTTGAAAGGCCAAAAATTTACCAAACATTAATAACATCAGAACGAATTTCAAATTTCAGAAAGAACAATTTCTGGCTCATCCACACATTCATAACTACTAACCACTTATTATCCACACAATTTGTGACTCTATTAACTCCTATCATAATAATCTCCTTGAAAACCAAACCCATACTAAATTGTCTAATCTTTTTTCTTGGATAATGGAAAAGAAAAACAAAATCTTAACATAAAAATAAAAATAAAAAAGTGAACCGTGGAGGTTAAGACTGGGGTCCATCTTAATAAGGCCAACCTTATTAAATGGAGAAGCCCAATATCTTTATAAATTGGTATTTATTTCGGTATTAAATCGACGTGGGATAACACATCTCTTAACAGGCCCCTCAAGATGGTGGCTTATTTGAGCAAACTAATTTTGAAATTCAAGAAGTGGCTCTGATAACATGTTAAGACTTGCGTCCATCTTAATAAGGTCAACCTTATTAAATGAACAAGCCTAATATCTTTATAAATTGGTATTTATTTTGGTATTAAATCGATATGGGATAACACATCCCTTGACAATCTAGTATGTTCATCCTCAGTTCCCTGTACCAATCCATTATCCACCTATATATTCAGAGATAAAGACCATCAAGAACCACAAATATTCCACAAGATTCACAATAACCCCTCATCAATTCGTTTAGCAATAATTATCAAGAACGTACACAAACGAAGTGTTAAATAGTTTATGCGTTTGTTAAGTCTCTGTGCTGAATATAACAGAATAAAAATTTGCATCTATACAGATAAATTACATACCGATTCGGACAACAGTGAGGCCAAAGAAGAGAATAATGCGGCAAAGATCACAGCCCAAACCAGTCTTGTCTGGACAATTGACAGTAATTACACTGGGTTCCCCTTCTTTCTCTGACTGCCTAATTAACACCAAATCATCATACAATATCCCCATAATATCGCCTCTTTTTCTTCTCTTCTTCACAATTTCCCACGAAAAAAGATTGGATCTTGAGTTAGGTGATTACAAGAAGTTTAAAACTTCAAATAAAAACAGAGCGGGTTCCTCAATTTTTGCCAAAAACTAAAAAATAAAAAATAAAATGCTTAGTTTTGGAAACAAAACAAAGAGGGTTTCTTGTTGGAAGAAAGCAGAATTCTTTGGTTTGATTTTTAATTCTCTTCGATATGCGTATACAGCAAGAAGGAGTAGGAGAAAGTGTAGTTTTCACCAACCAAACGTTTTGAGAGTGAAATGGTGAAAAAGAGAATATGCAACTGGTGTTTCTTTTGAATCCCTAGTGTTTTGCTTTGGTGAAATGCGAATTAATTGTTCCAATGGTCGTTAAACTGAGGTCCATATTTTTAATTAGTCGTCAAAATTTAAAATGTCGAGTTTTGATCATTAAATTTTGGTACATGTCTTCGATTCTCATTGAAATTTAAAATATATAATTTTAGCTACTCAACTTTGAAAAATATCATACGTAAGTCACGTATGATATTTTTCAAAGTTCAATTGTCAAAACTCGATATTTTCAACTTAAGTGAGCAATTGAAGATATGAATCTAAATTTAGTAACCAGATCTAGACATTTTTAACTTTAATGATCAATCAAAGACATCAACATAAGCTCAGTGACCATTGAAATAATTACCTCGTGAAATGCAAATATTATGTTAAAAGTACTTGAGAAAATATATCCAAACAATTTTTTACTTTAGCCAGACATGCTGTGGCTTGGGGAGCTGTTGTTTCTAGCGTGATGAATGCGACAGCAGCCTCGCCTAGAACCGCGAGAAATGTTACAGTTGGATTGAATTTGTTACAAGCATGAATTTCTCCTCGTCACTTTTACAGTCATGCTTGGTGTATATAGGGCCTGTTTGGGAGCGATTTTTCCTCTCAAAAAATTGATTTTTTTACCGTTATTTCACTATTTCAACCGTCATATTTGACTTCTTCTTTCACATGTGGACCCCACTTTTCTTCTAACGATCAAAAAATCAATTCTCAAAATCACTCTCAAACAGGCTCATAATGCATGACAGCCCCTCACATGTATTATACAGTCCTAAGGAGTGTACAAACAGAATAATCTCACTTTTATATCCCTAACTTTCTTTAAATTATTTTATGCAAAAATTGTAATTATAGTCCCAAATCTTTTTCTTAGTTGCATCTTCTATCCGATCCTTTCATTTGTAATATCCATAAACCCAAGGCTTTCAACCAGTTGTAGCCGAATTTTGTCCATTCGACCCGTCAGATAATCAGAAAAATTTTAAAAAAATGATTTAATTTGACCAATTTTAGAACATTCGACCGTCAGTTAATCAAGAAAAAAAAAGATTTAATTTGACCAATTTTAGACTGAAAAAATTGTACCTTTATATTTTCACATAATATAATTAAAAATAAATAAAAATACTCTTTATCTTCTTCCCCAAACCTCCACCCAATCCCTTAAACAGCCTACGCCTCACCCCCCCGACCCAATCGAGAGGTAATATCACAACAATATATTCTTCCTTACACCCTTAAACTCCTTAAACACCTTCACACCACATATAAGCCTAAAATTAACCCACAAGCGTAAGAATCAGGCCTTTATGTATTGCCTACTTCGTTAGAAATAGGACAAATTTCGAGAAAATCAAGAATTCTCACATGCGCTTATGTTTTCAATATTGTAGTTTATAATTTTATATGTTCAGTAGGTATTATATTAGATTGATTAAAATTTTAAAATAATATTTAAATAAGAAAATATTTTTTTACGTCTAGACTTGTCTAGCTTGAAAATTGGCCTTCACGCCTCAGTGCATTTTACATTTTCTAAAACATTGTTTGCAACCAATTGATGTGATGAAGCTAATTTCACGACGCTAAGCCTTCGATTAGTCTTTTGGGTTGCACAGCTAGCACTTTCTCCACCATCCAAGCTAATTTGTCAATGGGCGAGGCCCTAAAACTCTCGATGGTGATTGTCGATGATGGGTGGGTAAAAGATAGGTGGATTTGGTTGGTTGATCATTGGTGTGGGGTGGTTCTGAGGTTAGGAATTTGCGAAAGAAGATAAATAGCATTTTTAATTGAATCTTATTTGTATATCATTATAAACATAATGGTGTATGGATAAATGATGAGTAAGAGAAAAAAATAAAATAATTGAGTTTCTTTTCTTTTCATCTCTTTTTTATCTTTCCCTCTTTTCTATGTCATCTATCTTTTGAACATTTTGAACATAACAATGTACAAAGATCATTACTCTTTTTAATTTTCTTTTCTCTCCTTTTTAGATATTCTATGTAAGAATTGTAAATTTACAATTTGCCCTCTAAACATTGATCAAATTAAATCTTTTTATTTTTTTTTATTTTTCTGGTCAACTATAGAACAAATGGACAGAATCTATTAATCCAACATTCAACTGCAACAAATTGAATGATTTGGTACGGTGGTTGCCACAAATGAAAGGTTTGAAATCGTCGTAGTTGCAATTTTTCTTATCTTGTCATTAAATTGGTATATCTTGTCACTAATGATGAAATTTGTCCATAATTTTGTTAAGAGGAATAAAAAGACTTATTTTCACATCATATTTTTGAATAAGGCAAAAAAGGCAAATATAAAGTTTTGACTAAATATTTGTCTCTGATCTTAAATTACGATAACATAATTTTTGGATAAAAAGTCACAAGGACAAGATTTGCTAATGATAAAAAAGTTAAGGATAAAAATATAACGAAAAAATAAAGTGATTTGAATAAAGATCAAGGCCATTTACAATTAAAACGTGGTATATTTGTCATATTTTTTTTGTTTGTTTTATATAGGTAAAGAAAATAATATTTTATAGAAAAAGACTAATCAATTATTTCCTTTTGCCCCTCCAGCATGCCATGAACTGAATTTGATAGAGAACTTCTTTTATAAATTGCTTATTATATTCATTGTTATTAAAGCATATGGCAACAAGAATTGATAAGCTTCAACATGAATGGGCCTTCTGTCCACCATTAGATTTATCTCATGTTATTTTCATAGATTTCCACACCGTTCATTTTTCTTTTGATTAAAGCATATAGCAACATCAAACGTTGGATTATGCCATCACACATTAGCCCTAGTACATAAAAATATAGTGGATGACTAGATTCCACGTTATCCACTAAAAAATAATCGTTATCGTTACTTATGTCGAAGTTAAACATTTGTTAGTACTTTTCTTTTTTCTAGCTTGGCGATGAAAAATTAATAATCAGTTGAGCCATCTATTCTCAATATTTATTCGAAGCTTACCCTTCTTTTTATTAGTCTCCATCGGGTCCTGATTTAAATTAAATTTCAAGAAAAATGGAGAATTTTCTACCCTTATCATGGGCCCACGTCACATGCCAACACGCCATAAGCTCCAACGTGAAATTACGTGGTCAAAATGAATTCAACAATGTGAACCACCCACTACTAGTGAATAAAATCTTTGCCTACTAAAAAATAGGAATAAAATCTTGTTTAAGTTCCACAAGTTGCTTTTGACTCCTGCAGTTTTCAAAGGCACGTGTTTCATGGATGGCTAATTTTGTCGGTTGGTAAGAATTAATAAAGTGGAAAATTTAGTCCTAACCTAAAACTGCTAATATCCATTGCACCTGCACCAGTTCGACCATGCTACGATTACATTAAATAATGTCACGGGCCCATTTACTTGGAAAAGAGCCGGTTCGGGACATGAATGTCCACCCCTCTTATTTTAGTTGTGCAATTCCTCCTTTTGAATGTCACAGGATCTGACGAACCAAAAAATGGATATCAGTTTTGCACACGTTCGGATAGCTACCCCGATCCTTTTTTTAAGATAGGGAGCCTGCTGAGCGAACCGACCATCTTGTATAGTATAAGCCGGGGAGTGAATGAGTAAGTTCCTTCTTGGTTTTGCATACCAATTTGCAACTGCTTTATTTCGCTACACCCATAGTTCCTTGCTTGAACATTCATTCTTTATCAAAGACTGGGAAGGTCGACTCTTGTTGTTTGGACTTACTTCATACTTCATGATAAGCGTATTATATGCAATTATTTGGACTTAAAACTATCGACATTTAATAGTTCTTTAAACAGTTATAGCTTAATTTATTGTATATTTCGTTTACCAGGTAAAACTCGATAATTGGAAGTGAAATTGAAAGAACGAAGAGAAAAACGACGAAAATGACAAATATCCAATGGTTGATTTGGACTACAAGAGATAATTTTAAGATTGATAGGAGTCAATTGGATCCAATTAGAGGTAAAAAAAAAAAAAAAAAAAAAATGAATGGATTATGATCAGAATATTATCATAAATCGACTTCCAATCACATAAAACATTTTCCATATTTTTAGTCAAAGATTTAAACCCATTTTTAGCATAGTAAACGTCCGAATTAGAAAATTTTGATTCTATCGAAATTGAGCTCTTTGGGTTAACTTTCTAACGCATTTTGAATTATCTCAATCGGATGTCAGGAGACAATGTTATGACCAAAATACTAACTATTGTGCAGAGACAAAAAAATCCGTGCACGAATGTAACTTTCCTTACTCGATTAGAACTCTTTTGGAAAAAAGTTTGGACGTAATTTTCAACCAATTTTCGATTCCAACAAACATCTAACAGCAGAAACATTTAAAAATAAAGACCTTCTACTTCTATCATATACATCTCATACTCTAATATTCATCAATTATTATCATCAAAGGAGGAAATATCATAGTTTTTGTGAGAGAATTAAAGGGCACTTGCAAGAATTCAATAAAGAAAAGATTCAAACTTGAGCTTTAGGCAAAGAAGAGAGGGCGATTGAAGAGATTCATGATTTCGTAATTCGTCTTCATCTTCATCTTCTCAATTTGTCAAAAATCAGAGTTATGCAATTCCACTTAAATATGATTTATTGTAATTTCAAAATATTAGGCTAGTTTTATACATTGCTAGGATCAAATGAATCCTTGTTATGAAATTTTAGTTTTAATTAATTATTTTGACTTTAAGTTTTTATCATTCTTTTCAATTATTTCATCGTCAATTGAATTGTTAGTGGATTTTATTATTATCGAAAGAGACAATAGGATTTAAGCATAATATAATAAACATTGTAAGATTCGATAGAGGATAGAGATATACTTCTATACTTTATATGGTTTCAAGAGATGTTTTAGCACTTGTTAATACATTTATCATGTTTGCATGATTGCATCTTTCGTCAAGAGATAAAAAAGATCACATGAAGGGAATAGATTTGATCCCTA